CAACCAATTAGGAACACCCAACATACCTTTGATTGGCTCATATGGTGTAGGGTTTACAATATCGGTCATTGACACGTTACATAAAAAGTAACCGAGGTTACGAGTGGGGAATTAAATTTATAAAGAGAAGCCAGTTATAAATTGAAATTTTATGTTTATTAAAATTCTCATTTCTGTTTATCATGCGATGAAACAGTTATAATATATCGAACTCGACTATGTTCTCGGCCCATATTCTGTAAAGAAAAAACCTTCGATGTCGCACCAGACCATGGTATTCGCTATAACTATAACTTGTGGACTATTAAAGTGATAGATATTTTTATGAATGTAAACATTATTATAGAAACATATTATATGACACGATAGCTTTACAAAGTTCAATACTTTCATGCAGTTTGCATGGTTTGTCCAAGTTACATATCCTTTATTAGTGAATTGTTTATCATACGAGTACTATCCGCTCTGCGCCAACATTTACATGTACTCGGGCCTTTTAGTATTTCTAATGCTAGCATAAGCTAGTGAGCCTTGCCATTGTGGTGGTCAAACACACTAATGTTGCAATTGAACTTTCAGCCAAAGCTACGAAACCTAAATTGTTTCTATACAGTACATTGGCTATTTAATGATTATATGGAAGTGGTCCGTAGTTTTGTAGATGGTTTTCTACATCACTTATGGATCTCTTCAGCACATATATGGAGCTCAAATGTAATTTTGAGCAGCGATTCCTTCGTTTGTAGCCAAATCTCAATAAATGTTTAGATCAAGATAAGCGTAGGTCTGTCGTGATATTTCGTAAAATCTCTGTTTTTTTAGTCCGTTTAGAGACTTTTCTTCATTCACATTGCATGCTTTGGACACACCAGAACCCACGACGGAAAGAATATCTCAATGAAGACTGCATAGAAATACAAAACAAAAATGGGTAATATACATGTAGAGGAGAGTCTGCGATTGACCTATTTTCAGTCACATCTGGTGTTATGCTTCACATCTGGTGCAGTGGAAATTCACTTAAAATTTTTACCGATGCTCATTTTTGAGATACATATGGGGTTCCACCCCCGTGATTAAGTTCAACAAATTATGTAGCAGCTCAGAGTTCTGACCAGCACGTGTGAGACGTAAATGTTGAATGGTCAGTAGTTTGTAACTATATTATATATATATTATATAATTAATATTTGCAAATGCATGCTGGTACAGATGATCTCAGGTTTCTGTCAGATAATGACTAACAGAGAAGACTGCATGTTTGCGAAAAAAAAAAAGATCATAAATAGGCATGGTCATGCGATATATCGTATGATAGAAAGGTATGTATTGCGTGCGGAAATTTAAGAAAAAAATATTTACATACTTGTACACCGAACTCCGAGGTGTTAAGATGCCTGCAAATACCATCATACACTCGGGAGGCATACGCAAGATCAAATATATTATTATTATCATAGTCCTTATTTCTGAGTTCAACCATAAGCTGGTCAAACATACTTACAATTTTGTTACTAAACTTTGAGCACTTCGTTTGTTCAATGATCACTAAATATACTGTTTTTGTTGTCGGCTTTTAGTTAAAAAAAATATATTTTTATACGAAAACTTCCTAATATCAAACTAGCGGCGCCAATACATTCTGAATGCTTAATTTAGACTTCTAGGTGAACTTTAATAATGTCATGTCTTAGTGAACTTCAACAAAAATATATATAGTTCTTCCATCTTAGGAGAAGGAATAAATTTTACTCGATCGGTACTATTTGATATTTGAAATATCTGATAATTTCTATTCATTCTGTTATTTAAATGTCAAACAAACACACATAGAAGATACGTGATTATTTAACACTTCAGCCTATGTCAACTCGATCAGTGTGGGTATATATGTCACAGTTTCTTCTTTCTTTATAAAAAACCCCACCAAATTCAGAAATAAGCGATTAAGCGATTTATTATGTCGAAAGGTTCCGAGCTCTGACATGCACAACATGATGCAGATGGAATGAACTGAGACAGTTACGGTACTCTTTGGACAGTGCAGGTCACATTCGTTATGATTGATCATTAAATCCTTTCTACATGAGTGTAACCTTTGCCTGCAGTTTTACAGATAAATTACTGTTCTGAGATTTAAATAGTTGAAAAGAAACTAAGTGTTGTAAACTGCATGTACAGTGCCATCCACTGGAACATGTCTGGTCGGAACTGTGAATTAATTTGCACGTGCACCGAGTGCTTAGTTTGATACACCAGCCACCTAATTCCACTGGGATCAAGATCAAATGTTGAAATGTGACTATAGGTAATAGTCCTAATTGCTTTGTTACATGAACTAACCTGTTACAATTTTACGTTGTAAAACTTTCGAGCATCTGTTAACAATAATGTTTGGGTTTCATTGCGATAGTTTAGAAAAATATTTATTGAACGAAGCTTACCATTATTTTACAAATCGCAATACTAGCAGCTAGTATAATGTAAATATATTCATACATAGATTTGTTACATGCATTGCATGTAATTGGCATTTTAGAACTTTACGAACATACCTCGTAAAGTGGTTTCATTTCTTCAATACTCGCACATGTTACATATATCATACCCTTTTCGTAATAATCAACCCCCCTTGTTAACATCTTAATAATGTGCGACAAGATTTTGATATTTGTCTAGAGAATTTGCAAAGTTACTGAATATACAGCCCCATCTGCAATTTAGATTTTATGCTCTCTGAATTTAATCTTTTTGATAGTGCGCTCAAATTTATGGTGACTGATTTATATCACCTTCGTTTTGCCGTCTTTTCGCTAGAGAAAAGTTAGAGACTGTAAACATTTCATTGCACATGATATATGTGCTTTGGGTCTGACCCATACATATTTAAGAAAGTAAATTCATATCAGAATAAAAACGCTATTCTCAGACTAGCTATGGCATTATATGCTTTGCTATTGTAACTTCATCAACGTTCAACGTGAATTAACCTAGATTTATATTGAGATTTGAAAGTTGAAACAACGTTTAATGAAGTCTCAATGTTGATGCAACGTTGCAGTTTCCACGTTGGCAAATGTTGAAGTTTCAATGCCATTACAGTTTTGAAAACCCACCATACTTCAGTTTTATAATACATGTACATGTATTCCACTTGCTGTTGGATTAAGTCATTAAAATGTTGAAAATGGTGTGCTGTATTTGCATATAAGGGAATACTTTAAGTCCTTCAAATAATGTGGAAATTGCACCATAAGTAAGCATTGTTTGTTTACAGTTATCATATTGCCTCTTATCACATTTTACTTGTATTTTGCAACTATATCAGACGGGTTGCACAATAGCAAGGTATTTTCTCATCTTGCTGTTCGGGAAAATTAGTTGGGATTGAACCCCGCAAAGCTGGACCATTACTGGCTTGAAAGTCAAATCCCGTTTTCAAACGGTGATGCAAGACTAGTATATGTAATATAATTCCTACAATAGCTCTATTGCGGTTATATTAGTACATATATATTCTAATCTTTAATTCTACTCGCTTGAGTAAATATGAGCGTTCATTGGCAGCTGTGAAATGCTTGTACATCATCGCAGTGTTGTTATATCGCTCTGGTCCTTCGTGGTTATAAATTTCAGGTTTCTTTTGCAGTTTTGAATACTAGTACTGCATAGAAAAGTGCAGTGGTGTGTGTGTGTGTGTGAGATAATATTGCACTTTGAAAAATATATTGTTAAAGCGAGTCTATTTTCACCATTAATTTTTTATTATTATAATTATTATTATTTATTTCTCCTAAGTGAAAGATCTTTCGTACACAGATATTTTACAACAAGACGTTGTTTCAGAGGAATGAAGTTTCTGCCATCGGCATTGTTCGTTTCTTTTGTTTAGTTGGATTCACACCTACACTGTTAACGTTATACGGCGACTTTTCAGCTTTACTGGCGCAGGAAGAATGATGCCCACTCCGTAGGGAAGCTAAATAGAAGGTGATTACCCTATGACGTCTGAAGGCTTTAGGTGAAACAGTTCTTTAATTAGTGAGCGATACGGTTTTCACATTCAAGGTCACTGTGACCTTGACCTTCACGCACCAGTGCCAAAAACAATAGGGATCATCTATCTTATTAAAAACAAAATATTGAAATGGATATAACATGATGCATTAGTTCTATTTATAAATCAACAATAGGATTTATATTGTTGTCCATAATTGAACAGATCAGATTTCATTCAGGGTCACTGTGACTTCTACACTGTGAGCTTGACCTTTATACACCAGCGCCAAAACAATAAGGATCGGTTTGAAGATTATTGGTCAAATGGTTCTCTGTTATTAAGCCAGAACAATTATTTTTATAAATTCAAGACCAGAGTGACATTGACCTTCACGCAATGGCGCTAAAAACAAAAGGGCCTCCTACTCAAAAGTTTGAAGGCTTTGGGTGAAATGGTTCTTTAGTTATTGAGCGAAACCGTTGTCACATTCAAGGTTACTGTGACCTTGACATTCAAACGTCAGTGACCAAAACAATAAGGGTCATCTTCTTATTAAAAACGAAATGATAGAAACTATAACATTATACATTAGTTCTATTGATAAACTAACAGAAAGATTTATATTGTTGACCATACTTCAGCTTGATTGAAGGAAAGGGTCACTGTGACTTCAACATTCATGCATCAGTGCCAAAACAATAAGGCTGATTATCCTACCTTTAGCTCTAGTTTTTGACTGGAAACGTTTTGTAGACTGTAGGTCAAATGGTCCTAAAGCTCTTTTAGCAGAAACAGTTTTAACATTCAAGGCCACTGTGACCTTGACCTAAATGGATCAGCGCCAAAAAAATAATAGGGGTCTCATCCAATGAAGTTTAAAGACTGTGGGTCAAATGGTTCTCTAGATATTGAGCAGTAATAGTTTTCACATTTCGATAATGTATAAAATCAAATATGCATGCAATTTTTTCAGAATCAAATGGTCAATAAGACAACAAGATTTTATAAAAAAAAAGTTTAATTTAGACAAAAGCACTGATAACTTAACACATATTGACATAGAAAACATACACATATGTTAAGAGTATACAAAGCCAGAATTGTACATTTTCATATTAAAAACAAAACTTTTGTCTGAAAATATCAATTATTCAAGGCTCGGAATTTTATTTATTCATTCATGTATTTAATTGTATTTCCGTGACAAATGACATGTTAAAATAAAACAATATTTATTACAGTAAGCACTGACAAAACTAAAGAACAGTTAGTCCAAAATAAATTATTATCTTTCAGTTCCCTTTTCAAGTCAATCTTTACAAGACTGATGTATTAAAATAAATTGTATGAACCATATTCAAAATTTGTTCCTCATAATTTTGGTCAGTAATAGCATGAAAAATGAATTTTAGGCAAGAATATTTTAAGGATAATGATTAAGACATTTTACACAATGCTCACATATCACAAGTAAATGTATTTTTCCAATGTTTTATTTACACATCTTATTTTAAAAGTACACACATTTTGTAACAGAACTTTCATAACTTACTTAACTTGCCATATTAATCATCTTAAATTCAAACATAATTATATGTTATTTTAATCTTTAACTTTAAGCATTACAAGAAAACAATCAGTTCCTCATATCACAGCTTTGACATCAAATATAGACTTGTTCACTAGCCAGTCTGTCCATGAATGGTTTAACTAATTCACTTGTTGCAAAGTTGAAAACCAGTCCAAAAGTTATTGAGATAGGCAGCGCAGGTAAAGCTTTCCTGAAGATTGCTAGTAGCAATAAAGTGAAACATAAACCCTGAAAAAATATCAAATAATGCCATATCAACATTGTAATAAAGTATATGATTCAAAATGTATATAAAATATATGTATTTACCTTTTTGCCTATATTAATTCAAAATCTTATAGAAAATGGTTTCTAAAGTTACAAAATATATTGATTCCATAATGGTTGAATTTTTGTCCGAAAAAAACAACAACAACAAACAAACAAAACAATAAACATAATTTTGAATATTGTTTTTTCCCAAATTCAGACAATAATTCAGTGTAAACTAAACATTTCCAACCACACATCTGAGAGTAAAAATATCCCAAAGTAATTGTTTGCTTCTTTATAAGATTTTAAATTACACTGACACTGTGAGGTCATACAGTGACTTTCCAGCTATACTGGTAGAGGAAGATCTCAGGTACCCCTTGGTGCATTTTTTTTCAGGCACTCAAGTAGAACCACTGACCTTCTGTAAGCTATTTCAATGCAATCCAACAAGTCCATGCAATGTCTGAAGCTTAACCTATGCACCTGGCTCTGTCTTCATAATGGTAGAGGAATAATTACAGATCTATGCCATCCAATATATTAACACCATCCAGCATGTCCATGCAACCTGACCAAACTGTATACATGTACCATTGTATGTTCAATTTTAGTATTCTGATACTGACATCCTTTCAATTTACTAAATTCAAAGCAGGACAAGTCCATTACACAAACATAGGTAAATGTTTAACAATAATGTTACATCCTAGCCTGAACTATAACTGCTATAGACTTGCTCCAGACACAATCTCAGCTTGTCTTGAAATAGGTTTTTCTTATTTACAACTCTACACTATATTGATACATAAAAGTCCAAGGTTTTCTTTTTCAGGGTAAAAATTATTCTTAATTTAGATTTCAAGAAATTGTTTTCTCTTTAAAAGAAACTTCATAACAGAATCAATGTCTATAACATACAAAAAGTTCGTTAACAGTCAATGATGCTATATCTTATCCTATCCTGACATACTTACTATAAGAATAGCCACAAAACAAGCCAGTGTTGTGTTCCAGTCACCATATGATGATGCTTTACCAACAAGTACACCATAGAATATAAAATCTCCAAGCCCCAATTTTATACCTCCTGTAACATGAAAATAAATCAAAATACTGAATTCTTATCTAATATTTCAAAATAATAACAAAACAAAAAAGATTTTTCATACTGACCTAAGTTCAAATACTAAGAAATAATGAAACATAAGCTGACACTTAGTGACTATGGAAAGAATATTTAAATATGAAGTATATAACTGTTAAATGAAAACATATTATAATAACAAAATATTATAGTCTCATGGAAGATGCATTTTGACAAATCAATCTGTATCATCAGCCTTCATGGAACCTTCTTTAAATCTTCCAGTAGATTTTTTCACACCATTTATGGCAGCCAAAATTTTAGTGTACCAAGTTACACAGTGAAACAATGCAAGGTAAATTTCTAAGAAAAGCTCAATCATTTTGCAGTGTCCTAGACAAGACTCGCAGCTTGGATCTCTGGATACATGTGTTCAGAAGCATAGGTCCTACACCATCACCACTGCTCCGAAGATAAGCATATTTTTTAACTGATATGAATATGTATGACATTTGCCTGGCTAAGTAAAGAGTTTCTGGATTGTCAAACCTGTCTGCTAACAACTGTACCACCACAGCCCCAAGCTCTTTTTTGTGCTAACTGGCTTTGAAATTTTTATGTCATGCTATCTTATATTGTGACATCAACTTTATTACCATATTATGACTTCGTTTTTTAACACTGTTTCTTGCAATTCAAATCACATGTACAATCATTCTTATAATGGCAAATACATTATTTAAAGTCTACTGCTGCCAAGAGTTGATTAAGTGTGAAGAGAAGAAAGAAATAAGACGAGGTTTAACATTATATCATTGTACTTACTCTCTTCTTGTTCTTCATCATTATCTGTTGGACCATTTGTCTGGTTTTCTGAGTTTTCCTGCCCACGTCTTTGTCTTGTTCCATCCCAGTTACTGAGAGCATTTAGGGCTGACCTTGCCTGTGTGGAGTCTATGCTAGCGTCGGACATGTTACCGGTCCTTGTTCTGGGAACTCTGTTAGCGTTGGTAAACCCAGCGTCATCACTATCTGAACCACCATCATTGTTGGTAGCATTTGAATTCTCAAATACAGCTGTAAATGTATACAAAGAATGATAGTGCCAAAAATGTTTTCAGAAACTAAAACCTCTAGCTGGAATAATTCAAAACTATGAGTCACAACAAAAAGCTTGTGTATAAAAGAACAAATGAATATAAAAATAATGAAATTGTCTAAGAATTCTCATCAATGATAAAGTAAAGGGTGTAAAACTATAACTGGAAAAAAGTAACTATACAATTATCATAAACAGCACATCCATATTGTTTCCATAAACTTGAGTCCTTTCTGAAGTGAAATTATTGAATAAGTCTCTGTTATTTTACACAAGCAAATTTTCTCCAATATTCAACCACAATTTTAGTATGTTAAGCAATGATTTGCTAAACTCCACCCACTCAGAAAAATAAACAAACAATTAAGGTATCTTGGCTGATTTTTTATGTAAAGAAAACGAAACATTTTACCAAAAATTCAGAAAACTCAATGCAGCCGGAGACCATTTCAGTATTAATTTCATTGCCTTTTGAAAAATAAACCAAGTCAAAGATTTTCAAAACTTATCAATAACTTTTTTTTGTAACTGATGAATATATGCATGAAAACGTTAACTATTTACATGATTTTTATAAAATAAAATTCATTTACAATAGACAAACTAGTTACCTGATTAATTTATCAGAAAAACAACAGAAGGCTAAATGAGATTATCATTGCAGTAATGAAGCAGAAATACCAAGAGTGATGATTATCACATAATATAATGATCATGACCTTTTTAGATGCTATTCAATACATATATTTATTTCAATAAGATGTTTGACACTTTGAAATTTTACAGTAGGTTTTGAGCATAGACGCCTACATGTATATATCTGTACTGGAAAGTTTCATGTAAAATGGTAGATGGGATACATCAGTATCAAGAAGATTGATTCTATAATAAGAATAAAGATAGATAAACAGTGATCATAAAGAAGGTATCCAGCTTTTTCAGAGTCTTTATCACTTACGATTATTATAGCAGAAAGTTGTTTTCCTTTCTGAAATTGTTACTAAATCTAATTACATGTATCAGTTATAACCATTATATATGATTATGAAGTAACTTCAATTTATCTCAACAGTTTTAATCTTTTATCATACCATTAAAGTGTATACTGCACTTGACTGTGTAGAGACTTTTTTTTAAATTTCTAACAATGACTCTTCAACTAAGAGATAAATAGGGAAGAGCCCACGATAATGTTGTAAAAACTCTTAGCCCAACCCTTTAGAATATTGTGTACATGTATTTATGTTGATGTAAATAATTGATGTATATTTATATATGCAATAAAATATTATTAAACTAAGATAAATAGGAATTTTCGGCCAAAGAAAACCCCAACTACATGTAGTATGTTTCACATGTTGTGTGGTATTTATTTAGATGATAATGTAATGAAAACTAAAACTAAGTATATTAGATGCTTGTCATAAATATGTCCATTTCCTTATATAACCCTTGACAGAAACTCATATTTTATTAGTTATACAGATTTTTTGATGGATTATATGGTTCTATGTATATATAACCCAAGCTACTAGGAGAGGGTTATATTGCAAACAACCTTTTATATACAACCATATAACCTGTCAGGAATCTTTTTATGACGAATTTATAATACAGCAAACTTTCTTTTCAGGGCAAACGTGATTTCTTAATAAACTGACAGCAGCTGTGTCTATAAAACTGTATAAACATCAAATGAAAAGCCACATTACAAATATGCGGTATTATATCGTGGTAAATATCCAATATTGTCACGTCAGTTCTTACCATCACTATCCTCTGAGATCCTCTTCTGTACCTTCTTCTTCTTTTTCTTAGCTTCATCATTAGGATGATCCGAGTCAGCACCAAGTACTGTCACCTGCCACATCATTGTTGCTGTATAGAAATATATATAATTATATACACTTGAAATGTGTCTGAAAGACATGACTGCCCCCATTATATATGTTAGGAAACAAAATACCATTATATATGTTAGGAAACAAAATAATAACCATGAATAAAGATATAATTACAGAATAGTTGGTACATGTATATCATAACATTTTTTGCCCTAAAGACCTTTTAAAGTAAAAGAACAGATGGCTGTTGATAAAAACAGTACATGTATTTCAATATTCACAAGGCCTAAAGCTAGGGTGGCTGGGCACAAATTTCTCAGTTAAGTCTGTACTGGAGGCCAAAACTGGAAAAATAAAGTTAAATAGGTTTTTACTTATAAAATATTCTAATACACTTTTCTTGATCATATCTAAATCTTATAAAGCTTGCAGTTCCAGATGTTTAATAATAAGGTAATATTTTTCTTATTATAAAAATACTGTAATATTGCCTGTAATTATTTACTTTCTTTCCTGTCCGGTACTTACATGAATAAATAAGAGCTGGAAATATGGGCTCCCTTCTTTCTTGTGCTGTCTCCACTAACATTCTTAATGGTCCATTTGGGCAAAGTACTGCTACTAAATCTGTCAAATATAATTTCATCAACTTATCATAACTGTTGACCATACGTAATAGTTAATTATATTTTAAACTTTAAACCTGCTTGAACCAAGTGATAAGCCTTTACCACCAATACAGAGCAAGGCCAGTCTGCACAAACCACCCTCTTTACTAATGGTAGCTCATTTTTTTCATTATAATATTGAAATCCATTAAATTTAAAATGGGCTGTTCCAAATTCAAAGCAGGGCAAATCCATTACACAAATTCAGCAGTGTAAGAGTTAAACGTAATGCCTAACAATAATGCATTAAATGATTTGATTGGTGAAATAAAATGCTTTTCATTTCTATTTCCATTTAACACTTTTACTGAATGCATATCAAATAACATTTCATCACTTAAGTGCAATTACAACTCCTGGACTTTACCTGTTCCTGCACTAAGGTTACGGATTTGCTTAACCTATAAAGCCCCAGCAAACTAATGAGCTTTAAATAATTAATTTTAAAATTACTTTTAAAAGTTAATTATTCTTAAAATAATTACATATGTGCCAGTAAGTTACACTTTAAAGAATATCAAAAGACACATTAGGGCTGACCCATGAAAAGAAATAAACAGCTTTAATTTGTACATGTAATATACTTACCCCATATCACCATGACACCTAGGACAACCCAGAGAGTCCAGTCTGGGAGATACTTGATGAAAACAAGGGACATAAGTGCACAAATTGTAATAAGATATCCCTGTTGTAAGAGTAGTGGCCCCTTCCAATGTATACACATCATTCCCAGCACACCAAAGTTCCACATGAGTAAAGCAACACTGATGTAGTCCATAGGTACATTATACGCCTGCAGTATTACTCTGAAGAAACACGTAGAAACAGAAAAATAGCAAGTTTTTGTATATTTATATTCTTGCATATAAGAGTTATCTCCTGTTTACTCTGGTACTAGAAAAAAAAACTCATGTAAAACAAGTGATGTCAGGTCAAAATATATGCACATCCATGCCATGCCATTTTTACAGAGTGTCAAAAATGGCAAGGGAATGTGGTAAAAAACATTTAAAATGTATTTTAAAGAAATTTGACTTAAGTCATAACAACAACGTAAAATTTAAACCCTTATTATAAAACTAGACTTACCCCAGGTAGAGATATGCAAACAAGAATAGAAGTAGGAGAGATGATAAGATCAACCAGCCATGTATCACCTACATCAAAAATAAATAAGCCCGTCTTATTAATGAAATTTTAGAGTAAATAATGGAAAGTATCATGCAAGTATCTGTAAAACACCATTTGAACAAATCTGTAAAGCATAAATCAAACTAAATTTAGAATAAGATAAATGTACTAGCATGCTTTATTACAATTAAGTTATAGATGAACATAAAGCTGTGAGTAATTGCTTGTCAAATTATTGTCTACTTATTAAACCTTATGCTCATTCATTACAGCATGAATAAGGTGGATGAAAAATTGTAAGAAATTTTTTTCAAGCAATTAATATATATATTGAAACTGTAAGAAATTGGCTTAGTTATTGATTTATTGGAATATAAGCTGCAAACACACTGAATTATAAAAGTGGCAATTTTGAAGTTTTCCTGGTAGAGAAGGTCTGTCAAACCTCTCTCTTTATGAATAGTGTCATGTATCCATGCATAATTAGCATGCATCCATGTAGAACCACTGAAACAGTTAAAACAAGCAGGGTCAAAATGGACGGAAACTTGTACCTACCTTATAACATCTGAATTTATATAAGAGTAGTAGTATCATAGTCATCACTATGACAACGCCCAGTAAAATCATGGCATTGGCAACAGACTGCCATACTTTAGTGCCTGTATCTGCATCTGGTTTATCTGCATCATGGAATGGTGTATAGATACTGAAATAATATAGAACATGACAATGCCCCTATAATTACTATTATATCTGCATCATGGAATGGTGTATAGATACTGAAATAATATAGAACATGACAATGCCCCTATAATTACTATTATATCTGCATCATGGAATGGTGTATAGATACTGGAAAAATATATAGAACATGACAATGCCCCTATAATTACTATTATATCTGCATCATGGAATGGTGTATAGATACTGAAACAATATAGGACATGACAATGCCCCTATAATTACTATTATATCTGCATCATGGAATGGTGTATAGATACTGAAATAATATAGAACATGACAATGCCCCTATAATTACTATTATATCTGCATCATGGAATGGTGTATAGATACTGAAACAATATAGGACATGACAATGCCCCTATAATTACTATTATATCTGCATCATGGAATGGTGTATAGATACTGAAATAATATAGAACATGACAATGCCCCTATAATTACTATTATATCTGCATCATGGAATGGTGTATAGATACTGAAATAATATAGAACATGACAATGCCCCCTATAATTACTATTATATCTGCATCATGGAATGGTGTATAGATACTGAAATAATATAGAACATGACAATGCCCCTATAGTTACTATTATGTCTGCATTATGGAATGGTGTATAGATACTGAAATAATATAGAACAGTCTGTGCGAAAGTCTGTCGGTCCTCGGACCTCGCCAACTAAAAATCAGGAGGGCCGAGAAAATTTCGATACAGTCGGTCCTCATGTCCGATTAAAATTTCAGCCAGTTTGAAACAATTTTTGGCCAAAATATGCAAAACTGTTTTATTTATTATGTTTCTGTATATTTTTTTTCATAGTATCTTATAGTTGAGTCTGATAATTCATATTTGCTGAATATTTTTGATTATAATTATGGCAATATCCCTCCCCCACCCCTACAAAAAATACCTTTCAGAGTCCGGGCCGCAAAAAAATCATCAGGGCCGGAAATAAATCTAAGGATCCCAGTCCTTGTGGCTGGAAAAAAATTTTGACTTTCGCATTGACTGATAGAACATGACAATGCCCCTATAATTACTATTATGTCTGCATCATGGAATGGTGTATAGATACTGAAATAATATAGAACATGACAATGCCCCTATAATTACTTCTGCAACAGTCATGCAACTTACCAAAACATTATTGAAACATAAGAATATCCACAGAAAATGCATAACTAAGAAATGTAATTAGATAGTAAATTAAGTATTCCAAGTTTGAAATGAATATCTTTGATACTTTTGGAGAAATGAACTAAAGTTTGTTTTGGTTGGTTTTACAGCACACAGACACAATTTAGGTGATGTGGTGCTAAAACACGAATGATGATTTTGGCTAACCCTGGGTGTTACAAACTTAAAGCAACATCAGAGGTCAAAACCATCTCATCTGCTGGAATTAGGAGATGCACAGACTCCAGTTATTCAAATCCATTTAGTAGCCTCTTACAATCACACAGGGATAAACAATGGCTGCAATTCTGATGCCTCAACCCTTAAAGGCAGCCCCTCAGCCACTAGGGGAAGTACTGTTTCTTTACATCAATCAAGATTTATTTCATCAAATATAATTTTTGGTTTGTATTTTTAAGTCAAAATGACATTACCAAGACAAGAGTCATAATTATTGTGATATACTAGGCTACTAGCTTTAACTGGCTCTATCTTTGAAACTGGTTCCAGGTTCCATTTTTAAACTGGTTGATTGAGACCAAAGATGCCCATGTATGCTTTATTCCAAACATGGACGGGCAAAGAAAAACTACTCTTGCCTTATAAATACATCTTTATAAATATTGTTTGTGGTTAAGTTTTTTTTAAGTTTTCTTTTGTATATTTTTGTGGCAAGTTTTTTTGTTGTTTTTTTAGATCACATTAACAGTTCAGTTAATAAGGACACTTATTTTCTTTATTTCTGTATAAAACATGTACGAGATCTTTTTGACCCGAGATATCTCCGTCAATATAGATCATGGGGTACTATACATTTTTTAAATAATACACTAGTTTATCATTTCAGGAGTTAAGCATTTTATATTACTTTATTTATCTTTAAGGCTTAAAAGGCGTTTATTTTAAACATTTTATTTAACTAGAGATTTCTTCACAATTTGTTTATCTTATACACTTACAGATATGCCCCATTTTTCTGTGTATAAAATGAGACAGAGCTGATGGTTGCCACAACAACTATCATACACAATGTTACAGGTACAAACAACATGATCACATGTTTTGCCCCATATTGTAACGTTTCCTCTTCTTCCTCAACAGCCGCCTCTGACTCGCTCCTCTGCTGACGTTCACGTGACGCTCTCTCCTGGGCATGACGATTGATCGGAAGTGTTTCTACCTGTAGAAACAAAAACAAATATTTTTCAAACCAAGATCAACAATTCTTGCCAATCATCATTTTCTTGCCATGATACAAATTTATATAAAAATCCAAATCCATTTAAGCATAAAACCGTCCAGTATTTCTCTTGTAGGCCATGTAAAGGAATGTGAAGGCCTGGTAGTTAAAGTGTTTGCTTCTCAACAGAATTATGTCTAAGCACTACTAGGGTCACAACCTTTCTCTTCATAAGACATTCATGATAATTAATATCAGTAGACTCAAAATTGGTTCAAATAAACAGTAGCTGAAATTTTTTTTGAAAATGAAGCTTAAAACTGATTACACTTGGAATGCTGCTAGTACTCTTTCATAACTACAATGTACTTCCAAAGTACAGTGCATTTTTTATTATATTTATCATATAATTATTTGATACTAACTTGACATTAATCTTTTCAATCCTTTTCATCATGACATGAAAACTAATAATATTAAATTAATGGCCTATTATAAAGTTCAGTATAATATAAACAAATGAATAATTAAATGATACCAAATTTCATGTTTAACAAGTAAGCTTACAGAAAGATCTCCATTTTCCTCTAATTTGGCATGTGTTACTTGTCCAGCCATTAGTCGAGTAGACTCGTTTGGTTCTTCTTCGTCACTTTGTAATTCACTCATGAAGAAATGCACATCAATGCATTAGTTTGACCTGTGTTACTGCAAAAAAGTTTTGCAGAAATTATGACCATACTTTGTAGAGTACACTTACCATTTTGTCTAGTATTACATACTGCACCTTGGCATATCATTTTTCTGAGTCAATCATGACGGGAGGAGTTATATTCTAATGAAGTGGGAATGAAATGTTGTTATGTTAGGTAAATTATAAATGTGTAGTTTTCAATACATGTATTTGATATTCATTTGTGGAAAGAAATCTTAAGTTTTAGTTAACTACATGTATGTGTATTTTGTGTATATATATATATATAAACTATTATGGAAAAAAAGATTAACAGCTATGCCTTTGTTTTCAATCTTATTTATTGTTAAGGTGATGCAACTATATTAAATTATTCTATCATATTATAGACAATAATAACGATGAATTGAGTAAGAGTCAATGTACTTATAATTTGTATATTTATAAGGAAATAACTTCACATATTACAATTACTTCATGTTGTATCTTTATTAGTTTAAAATATATTTAAGTACAAATGTCCATAAATGATAAAGGTGATGATTATTAAACTTTCTGAAGACATTATCTGGTGTTTTCTTTTTACGACTTCATTCTATTTTTTATCTTGATCATTATTTATAATTTTTCTTGAAAAGGAAAAGTTTATGAAGAAAAGTGAAAAATATAATGCTTAAAAAACGACAACTGGGTTGACCAGAGACAGACTGACTTGGAGCTGGACTGACTAATTTGGGGAAGGGCTTGACCATGGCGTCCTATACCGAGAGAGAGACTTGCACCTCAGTACAACATTAATATGGAAAGCAGTCTTGGCATCGCTTAAGTTAAGCCGTTCTGCCAAAACCCTGCTGCGGATAAGGCACATGGCAGTCAACAGTTAAAGTCATTTCAAATACCAGAGATGATTGGGTTGAATCTGTTGTGACTATCTCGGAGAACTTTGGTCCTAGCAAAGGGATCATTTGAAAGAAAGCTTGAATGCTGTGTTGTCACCTGCCTGTAAACTTTATAGATGTCTTACAGACCATCGGTATGTCTAAACCAACAATTATATAAAAAGGTGTCATTCCCTTTTTCTTATAATATAGACATGACAAGTTTAACCTCTTGAATATACACAATGGGTCTAATGCAGAGCATTGCCAATATATAATCAATGATATTTATATCTTCTTTTTATTAAGGTAGATAACTAGAATTTCATTCTTTTCATTAAACCCACGAAAAATAAATACAGAATTTGATAATCTCAATTATAAAAAAAGTTACCTGTATAGGATAACGAATTAAGAAGAAGGGAGATTACGTCTATTTCTTTTTAAAACTGAAAACTTATATATTGCATCTAAAATGATGTGAAAAAAAAGTAAAGATTACTAATTTTCCTACTTCCTGCTTTATATGTGAAATGTTTGATTAGCTATAATATAGTTTTATTTATGAAGAAGACAACAAATTCAGAGTATATAGAAGCGAAACTATCAAATCTTATAAAGGGTATTTACGCGCAAGTTTATCTAGTTTCTTAAATAGGCTAAATGCAATGTGATTTTAGAAAATAGTTAGAAATAAATAAGTAATTGGTCGTGAGTATCAGATGATATGATTTATAACCAGCAGAAATCAATATACAAATATCTTTCATAAAAATCAAACGCATCGTCATCGTTTTTTCGGCACAGGCTAAAACGCAGACGCTTATGCAGACAATATAGGATATATAGTAAAACGCAGACAATATAGATATAGAGTGTATTCACAAAACGCAGACAATATAGAATAAGAAGGGGTAAATTACACCCTTCAAAGCTGTTTAGATTTGTAAGTTTTAAGATCAAAATTTTCAGATATTAGAAATTTATAGGTATTGATATTAATTAATGAATTAGAATTTTAAAGAAATAGAAATATATTCTATGAATTTTTGATAAGAAATAATAAATAGTGATATAAAAAGGTGTTGTTTTTGTCTTTTTTGACATTCTATGCTTGATTTAAATAAACTTTTATTATTTTAAGATAAATGTCTAATATAAGTTTTGTAAACTTTAATGGGGAGAATTTTAATAAAGAAATACATGTCTGCAAAATTCATTTCACTATATATCTATATTTTCTGCGTTTCTTTGCAATTACTATATACTCTATATTCGTCTGCATTTTACTATATGTTCTACACTGTTAATAAAGAAATACCATGTCTGCAAAATTCATTTCACTATAATATCTATATATGTCTGCGTTTCTCACAAGTACTATTTACTCTATATCGTCTGCATTTAGTATATGTTCTATACTGTTAATAAAAGGAATAAATGATTTCACTATAAGTCTATATTGTCTGCGTTATATATTCTTTAATAACAGTGCAGAAAATGTAGTAAAATGACGACGGATATAGAGTATTATGAGTAAACACGAGAATTAATATATGTATATATAAATCCGTATGATAGTATAATTGTCAAGAAACGCAGACATATAGATAGTATACGTGAAATGAATTTTGCGAGACATGGCCTAATCTATGTGTCATGCTTCATGATTGCATAAGGTTGATGATTGTTTGAAATTGATGATAGAATTAGTGTCACTTGTCACATGGCGCATAATTAAATTGCTCTATAGCCAAAGGGATTAGAGTTACCCCCCACAGTCTTGATCCCCGGTTGATAAGAAATGTGACCAGTGTATTAGTATATTGCCAGCTTAATTAAATGATGTGTGTCTTCTTTGTTTCTGCAAGAGAAACACAATAATTTGATACAATGATGTTTAAAAAAGTACTGTATTAATGAAAACTTCCAACCACTTTAATGTAAATATATCCTAACTTACAGCTAGTACATATGAAAAAAGTCTTATAGTAAAACGCAGACACTATAGATATGGTAACTTATAGTAAAATGCAGACACTATAGATATATAGTAAATGCAGACAATATGAAACATATAGTAAAACGCAGACAATATAGAAATATAGTAAATGCAGACAATATGAAACAAATAAGAAAATGCAGCAGGGTCTTTCAAATAGAAGACTTTTGATAAATGCAGACAATATGAAACATATAGTAAAAACGCAGACAATATAGATATTATAGTAAAATGCAGACACTATAGATAACTATAGTACAACTTTTGATAAATCAGACAAATATGTAAGCATATAGTAAACGCAGACAATACTAGATATATAGTAAAATTCAGGACAATATGAAACATATAGTAAAATGCAGACACTATAGAAATAATAGAGAAGACATATTTGTTTAAGATCTAAATCATTTTGTAAAATGCAGACACTATAGATATATTGTATCAACTCTTTGATAAATGCAGACAATATGAAACATATAGTAAAACGCAGACAATATAGATATATAGTAAAATGCAGACACTATACGATATATAGTTCAACTTTGATAAATGCAGACCAATATGTTCCGCAGCTATATAGTAAAACGCAGACAATACATAGATATATAGTAAATGCAGACAATATGAAAAACATATAGTAAAATGCAGACACTATAGGATATAATAGAGAACATATTTGTTTAAGAATTAAATTCATTTTGTAAACATGCAGACACCATAGATATATAGTAACAGCTTTTGATATATGCAGGGACAATATGAACATATAAGTAAAACGCAGACAAATATAGATATATAGTAAAATGCAGACACAATATAGATATATAGTACAACTTTTGATAAATGCAGACAATATGTAGCAATAAGTAAAACGCAGACATATATAGAGTATATAGTAAATGCAAGACAATATGAAACATATAGTAAAATGCAGACAACTATAGATATAATAGAGACAATTTGTTTAAGATTAAATTCAATTTTGTAAAATGCAGACAACTATAGATATATAGTATAACTTTTGATAAATGCAGACAATATGAAACATATAGTAAAACGCAGACAAATATTAGATATATATAGTTTAAAATGCAGACACCATAGATTATATAGTTTACAGTATAGTAGGAGACAGCCAAAAGCATTAGCCATTAATATATTACTTTCTTGGTTCCACATTTCTTTTAAGTAACAAGAGTTATGCAAAGCTAAGTATTAAATATTTATTTCAAATTAATTATATAAAATCTTAACATAGAATTAAAAAAAAAACCCTTTCTATATATCACTATTTATATATTATTGTTGATATTATGATACTAATAAAACATTTAAATAAAAACATTTCTAATCTCTAATTAAAATGTTATTTTTGTATCAAATAATAATTCTTATAAATCTCTTATTTTATAAAGTTAATCTGAAAAAAAAAAGTGGTGACAAGCTGTTAAGAGTCTAATTCACACCTTCTATTTCTATATCCAATGGTAGGATACTACGTCATCGCGCACCTGCTGAATGCTCCCACTTGGACCATTTTTTCGTCGACTCAAATGTAAAATACAATTTTATTATAAGAAAACGTTAAGAGTATTAAAAATCATGTAGCCGCACCAAAGATGGCTATAGTACTTGACATAATTGTAAAAAAAGTTTATAGATTTATTGCCTGGTTTAGGCCTGAAAACGGGATAAGTGTTTTTCTCTGAATGCTCCCACTCGGACTTCTCCCGAAAACATATATAAATAAGGTTGAAAACCTTCTTTAAAATTATTTTTAACGTACCGGAACATAACACCGAGTCATGTTTTACCCATTATTCTATATTAGTTTCAAATGTTTCTAAAGTCAGTTTTTCTTAATTCTTTTTATAAAAATGGAAAATGCTCCCACTCGGACTCAACTTCAAAGATGCTCCCACTCGGACCTAAATATATACAAATTTTGAAAGCACATTGCTGTCTTAAGATATAATCATTTTTTTTCAAAATATCTTTATATTCACGTTCATATATTCAGTAAGAATTCAATGAAACAGCATTTTTAAAATACGATACTAATATTTAAATTACTAAACAGTCTTCGTAAATATTCTTCGATTAGAGGAAGTATAAGGGAAAAAGTTGTGTTAAAGCAATTCCTCGTTTAAAAGAGTCGCTTAAATAAGAAACAAATTGCTTTATCACATTTTTTAAAAATGGTAAATTATAACGTTTTGTTTTGCAAGAAAGTATTTGAATTTGTGACCAGTATGGGAAAATGGTATAAACACATTGCGACGTAAGGAAGCTACATGGCAGGACATCTTGGGCAAGCGGCAAAAAAGCTGGGGGAGCAAATATTTTTAGATACAAACTGTGGATATATCTCATTGAGGAGGAATACTCTAGGAAAACATAAGAATAATATTCTTTGAAGTAATTGTCTTTTGTTCAGTTTTTTTTGCGTTAATTTTTGACAATGTGTCATAAAGATCAATTCATCTGAAATGCACTGGAGGATAAATTTCAATAAAGTAAAAATACCGCAAACAAGAATTGACACTCTCCAGTTTTGGAAGTTATTGCTCTTTTATTCACTGTTTTTGAGTTATTGCTCTTTATATTCACTAATCATTAGTTTTCAAAGACCTAACTCTAAATCATTTAATATAACTTAAAACTTTATATAGAATGTTATAGAAGTTAATAGAATAGCATAAGACCCAAGAAGTGTTCCACTAATGCTTCTGTGTTGTTTTCTTTGTTGTTTTTTTTTTTCATATGGGTGTTATTTTTGTCATTATTATTTTCTCTAGGCGTATAACTTTCATTAATTTTCACGAGTATCATTACTTTGAATTTTTCACGTTATGTAAGGGTTACTTCCCTTTGAAATTTACTTCTCTTATGCGGATTTTGCTTCTCTGTATCCTTCTTGTATTTTTTGTTATTTTTAACGTATCAAATATCTGAAATCACCCCCCCTTTTTTCTATCATTTTATCAAAATATAATCTCAAATGAAATTTAATCAATATTGTATGTTTCGAAAAGCATTATTTGTAAAGATTATACGATTTACAATTTCATAAAGGACGAGTAATTAGATATAATTTTGTACTAAAGTGTAAGTGAATTCTTTCAGAAAAGAAATGAATGCATTATTGCATACATTTATTTAATGAATAAATATAATGGGACAAGCATTTGCATTCATATATTACATATTCATGATGTTTTGAAATTGTTTTATACCATAAATATTGTACATTATTTTAGACAATTTCAATTGTAACGCCTGAAATATAACTTACTATGATCTTATTACCAAATATTGTAAAGGACTGTGATAAAAGATACTATGATCTTTGTTTTCTTATTTTTTAAATTTTTATATTTTAGGTAAAACTACTTAACATTGATAATCTTTCTACTTTTAAAATTGTCAAAGTTTAATAATTTGAGCCGTATTATGCAGTACCATGACTTTTAACAGTCATGACAATAACTGATTTAATGTTGTTCTTTAATTAA